ATAATGGCCAATAAAAGACTGGGTAGACATCTTTGCACTCTCACTAAAACTAGAAATTAATATAGCTTCTCTCTAAGGCCTCAGAAGCAAGCAAATCTAACCACAGATATAACTTAAAACTGGTATATTTAATTATAACAAATAAATTTAGGCAGAGTAGAACTGCATACCGAGACATAATTTCTGAAACATTTGCCTACAAATTGCTAGGTCCAATGTTAATACCTCCTGGGCTACAAAAGCAACTTCCTACCTAGAAGTACAGAAACATCCTTCTTAGCAACATATAAAACTAGTATAAGTTAAAAGATTTATATATGCATCTACCATTTTTAAGGAGTCAGCTTAGATACGCACATCATTGGCAAGTTTGAGAAGCTCATTAGTCTCTCTATCCGAAAACCAACCCACTTTGCAAGCATTCTACCATGTAAACAGCAATGTCAGAAAGAAGTTCAACACAAAGGCATGCATTAAGGTCTAACATGTCAAATCATGAACAGAAGACACAGTGATACATGGATAAACTGTATCATAACGTAAACCTAAATTCTGAAAGAACCCATATATCTAACAAGAGATCTCCCATTTCAGATTAATTGCAAATCAAAGATTCAAAATAATATTATAAGCTCTTTTGGGAGAAAAAGAAGGGGAGTAGACAATCAAGCCTATCTCAATTTTTAGTAGATAGAATGTCAACAGAACTATAGAAGGATACTCAATGAACTAAATCTGAACTCCCGCACTCCAATTATGTGCAAAGTGCAAGCAAAGATGCATGGCATATTCAAGAAAATTTTAACGAGTCAGCACCTTGACTGAGAGCATCAGCACCATAATTGCAGCTTGCAGAAGTGAGTCACTCTTAGGTTGGCATATCTACACAGCATAAAGGAGTACACATTATTCATAGAAGAAAAATATAAGGCAAATCCTTTTATACATTTGCAAACTGAAGAAACAGCCGAGAGGTTATTTTGATCAATTTTCCTAATAATCTCAGATTGACATAAACAGCAGACAGACTATCAACCCCTCAACCACTCAGGGAAAAGAAGCTCCAGTTTGCATGATACTTCAATATCTCAAACACTATACTCATCTTCCCCCATACAAGACAAGGTCTGTATATGGAAAACAAAATTAGGCTTCTTAAAAATCCACATTACAAATCTAATCTTAACTCTGTCATACCAACTTTTTTTAAAAACCAGTACCAGCAGAACCATACCTGTTTGAACAATAGAGGCAAGTCTTCAGCTTTTTCAGGAATGTCATTATTTGCTACACCATAATCAATACCTCTGTACATTTCAAGGGAAATCTAATTAAATACAAAATATCTACACAACTAAAATAATATATAGTGCTACATAAAATCTTATAATATCCATTCCTCTTCAATTGAGGTCACAATTCAATTTTACATGATTAAAGAAGAAACAACAAATATGACCTTCCAGTTACAATTCATAACTTAATGCCTCAGCTCTTCTGGCATTGTTGTTCGTTGGAAGTTAATTTTTTACTTTAAACTTCTTTTGTTTGAAAAGCCTACCACTGTGTTGAAGCTATGGCAGGCGGCGGAAATTGATTTGACTCTGGACAGCTTGGAAACGAAATGGAGAACAGAGCAACCCCATGTGCGCTTTAGATCTTATCATTCACACCTTTGGAGACTGATTAACTCCTCCCACCCTGAAAGAGAAGTTAAAACTTAAAAGGTCAAACTGATTGAACTCTTCTCAAGTATTCACATGTTCCTATCCAATGATTTAGTAGCAGCTTATCAGACAGGTCAGCCAGGTCCAGAAAAGTAAACTTATTAACTCGAGGAAACTAATGTTTCTTACCTTGTGAGGTGGAGTCCCTGGTCTCAACATATTGTTGCCAAATCCAGCTTTTCCTGTCTTCTCTGAAGACTTGAGTATTTGAAAGGAACATGTCAAAGTATCATCAACACTCAGCATGGCACCCGCATTGTCAAATTCACCACGGTAGTTTGGTGCAGAGAATATGGTAACCAGCTGCCTATTTGCAAAGAACTCATAACCATCTTGTACAACCTGGTGAAGTAGTAAAATATAAGAAAAGAAGAGGAGAAATAACTCACAAGATGGAAATATTACATGCCTGAACTTACTGACACCAAGAAAATGGTTTCCAGCGGCGCTGATATGAGCACATGGTGTTAATAAAGCAATACTGAGCATTAAATGATTTCAATTAGTGGAAATTCAGTTAAAACATATGGAAAATTTTCCAAAAATGCAAGCAGGAGCTTACTTGTCAAAGCCAGCTATAGGAAGGTCAATCTCAATCTGAATTTCATTACCTGATGAGCTCTGCAGATGAGATCAAGGTCATGTTTCTGAAGAAACTCAGCAACCGTGTCTGCCCCAAATGTACATGAGAGATCCCTATCATTGTCTCCCCAGTCTTTAACATTTTTATCAGGATCAGCCCACAAGAGATCACAGAGAAGACCTTGATCTGGTATATCGACAGGGCGAGCAATATTGCGGATTTGATCCAAGTTGTTCAAATGAGGAGATAGCCCACCATGCATGCAAAG